AATTTTGGTCTTTTTTTTTTCGAGCATTTGATAACATTAGGAACAAATTTTTTTCTTTTATCTTTAACAAGAGATCAGTTTTTTTTTTCAAATTTCATCGATTACATAAATTTTTTATTATAATATTGTACTAATAAAAGGTTTACATTATTTTTGCTTAATTTCAAAGGGCTGTTTTTGTCTTTAATTATTTTTAGATGGAGAATGTTGAAAAATTAACGATAAAAGAATAAATATAATTATGACTTCAATTCTGGTTTTGAATTCCAATCTTTTTCTGCACGAGAATCCGTTAACAAAGATAAATGTGTTATGCTGTTTTATGGATATGAAAGAAAATTGGTTGAAAATTAATACTCGACTATGTCAAAAGTGAACTCAAATAAAGTTTCATCAGTTTTAAACGTTATTATGCATAAAAAGTCAACAAACTTATCAAAGCATATCAAAAGAAAGTGATTCAGAAATTGTTTGATTTATTGCAAAATTTGTGGACTTTGGCAAAGTTTTGAAAATGCATTTGTTTGTTTGCAGTTACAGCTATGCAAATGAAAGTGATTGAATATGGAATGATGATAATGCAAAGAATATAATAAAAAATAAATTTTAAAATGCTATAAAGCTGCAAAAAAATTGACCTTTTATACGGCTTCAATCAGAAGCGCTTTTTAGTGATTCTTAGCAGCGATTCTTCAAAATGTTCAAAAATATTGCTATCATTTATTTCATTGATCCAATTAAAATAATATAACAAACAGTTTTTGCTATTATCAGATGACGAAAATTATATTAAATTTTAAAGAAATGAGGATGAAAAATTTGTAGATTTCAATGTAAAATTTTACAAAAGAAATTTTACAAAAATCATATGAACATTTTCTTCAACAAAAAGAAAATTAACTTCAAAATAAATTACAGCAGCTATGAAAATTTTGCTTCATCTGCTCATGTTTAACGTATGTTCTATAGTTGCAGATTTACAAATACTTAATTTGGTTAGTTGTACTGTTAAAACATAGCAATATTGATTGATTTCCTTTTTTTGCAACTGCGCTATTTATCAAAAATTATCAATTAAAAGAGTATTTTCCGATTGCCTAAAACTTTCTTTTATGAATTGAGTTCAGAAACTGGATCGCTTTTCTGATTACTTCATTTAAATGTTTTATAGGATGATACAATCAGTCCTGATAATGAAATGCCAAAAAATTATTATGGCGCAGGTTTTATAAACACCGATGGAACGTAAGGATGTTTGTTCAAGCCAATATCAAATATTTATGCTTGCAAAGAATTGCGATAGAAATATATTGTAACATTTTGGATTTTATTTAAAATTCTTAAATATTTATTTTAGACAAAAATTGTGCTCTTCCAATGTTGATTGCTACAGTATGCGAGAGCCAGTTCATTGGTGTCGTTTGGTCGAAAATCAGCAATGGACGTGAGTTCTTCGAATATATATGCAAATAAAAATTAATCCCCAAAAATAAGTTAAAATTACAGAATCAATATTAAAAATTGTCATCAGTTCTTGAAAGGAATTGTAATTTATAATAAATTTTATTTTACTAATAGAAGTTATGAAAATTCAATAAAATAATTTTCAGTGACAAAGGATGTTACTGTGATCCGATTCTCAAGGCATGTATCATTGAACGGATGACTAAACTCGGTCCGATGAGCAAAATTCGTAATTATGCATACTGTACACCAAAGACATCTTGGGAATGTCCACCTTTTCAAATTATATAAATTTCATTGAAATGTTTTTATTCCTTTTTCTGAAATTATGCAAATTAATATGTTTGTTCAAATAGCTTATGCAATCTTTGCATAAAATGTTAAACTGTGCGGTAAAAAAATGAAATGAAACTTTTTTAGTTTAGCAGAAAAGGAAAATAACATTCATCTCTTTTAACCTGACGTAATAGTTTCGAGAATTTTTTCATCTTTAATTAAAATCTGATTAAAAACATACATTTAATTGAAAACAATTAATTTTTACACCTTGAGCTTTTAACAGAGCAGCAAAATATAAATGTTGCTATTTTCTGCTGTAAAAAAATGATATTTTTAAATTTCAATTACATTTCAATAGGAAGAGAAAGAGTAAATTCGAAACAGTATAAATTTTACCGCTGAATTTCCCTTTTTTTAAACATTTACGACAAATCATGATCAAAAATATCAATGATAGAAATGCTAAAGCTTTGCTTATATCAAATGCGTAATTTTTATTTTATCAGATTAATTTCGTATCACTATGATGATATTGTTTTAATTTATTGAATGCAAAGAAATGCATACAGACTTTCCACTAATTGAATTACTTTCTCGACTAACAATTGAAGAAAGTTTGAGGTCTCTCAGATGGTCGGAGGGATGATGCAATCTTTGACATTTGCATATTTGCACAAACAATTTTTTAAGATATCACTTTGGACGAGAATAGCCTGTACTCTTTACCCTCTCGACTGTCAATATCTGCCGCATCCTTTCAACTACTTTTCTGAGCTTTTTTTTAAAATAAAAAAATATTTTTTGGAGTAAAACTTTGCTATCTTTTATGATGGGAACACGTAAAATACAGAATTATGAATTATTTTTGGTTGGATTAGAATGAATCGATTAAAGTTTACTCGATAGTGTTTTTTTTTTGTAGTTTTATAAAAATTTTAATAAATTTGTTAAATTTGCAGAATGCTTCAATTTGACAAAGTGGGTCCGGAACTTCCGGAAAATGTTCGACGTTTTATGATATTTTGATTGGTATAGATATTTGACTGGTATAAATATTAAGAAAATAGATATTAGAGGTATAGAATATAGATAGTAAAGCCGATATAGATTTGTGTTATAAGCTAAGAGAACCGCCAGTTAAATGAAGAATGAATTACTTCAATTTTTCATTATAGCTTTTAAAAAATTTCAAAAATTAGCTTAATTTGAAGGCGTTACAAAAGAAATCACTAAGGCTTTCATCTGGAAATGACTGTCGAAATTTTATTGGCAAAACTAGAACTTTTAAAAATTGCAATAATTAAATACGGCAATCAAAATTTCATAAATAAATTTGCTACAAAAAATTTTGCAAACTATGTCAAATTCACTCTTACGAATATTCCACCGTATTTATTCATTTAAATCAGAAAAGTTTAATATAAGAAAGCATGAAATATGTTAAACATATTCTTTTTTTGATATATTCATTTTTGATCAAAGATCACCAAAAAGGAATTGATAAGAAAAGTGAAATTTAGAAATTGTTTTAAACATGTCATTGACATTGCTATCATTGCAATGCAATAATAAAATACTTTTACTCATTTTTTAAATCAATGGTGGTAAAAAGGTTCCATGTAATACAACTGCAATATATAATCATTTATAATTAAAAAGAAAATTTAGTTGATGATGTGAGGAGTGAGTAAGGATTAAAGCATTCATTTGATAAGTTATTAAAAAAATTTCGTTTCATCGAAATTTTTCATTCGATTGGAAATTCAAAAAAAGTTGAGTAAAAAAATTTAACAAAAAAAGTAAAAATTACTTCCGTCACAAAAAAATTGCGACCCAATCAGAAAGGCATTCAATTTTAAAATAAAGCAGTATTTTCTTTCCTTAAATTTTTTTAATAATATGTAAAAAAAATTTTTTTTTTGAAAAATTTGTCATTTTATCCTGTTTGGAATTTTAATATTTCAAACATGAACGCATAGAAGTTTCATAAATTATAGAATTCATGATTTCATTGAAATTATTTAATCAATATCATTAAATAACAACAATCAATTAAAATTTTCTTTCTAAAATCAAGTTTTGCATAACATAAAATAGCTAACTAAATTTGAATTTTTATAGATGCGATAATTGAATTCTAAAATTTGACGCAATATTATAGGTAGTTTATCATTCATCTCACGTGATACGTTGAACGCTTCACTTCATACCCCAACAAATGCACTTCCGTTAATAACTTGAAATTTTTCTTCAAGAACTTGTTCTTCTAGAAACCATTGAAATAAATAACTTTATTTCATCTTCTTCTTGTGTATAAATTGGTGAGCTAGAATTAATTGTTTGAGAAATTCTCAATACAGAAGAACAAAAAAGAGCTAATTTTTTTTAAATTAGTTATTAATAGTATTGTTAGAGAATTTAGTGTAATAATTTTATCGTTACATCTTCTGATATGATCATATTTCGAAGATGAGACTTGTTTGAAATGATAACTCATGCCACATACCATAGAATTACTCGTACAGTACAAAGTATATGTCACTTTTTTTTCTTTTTTTGAAATTTCTTCTTTTCGTAGTTTTCATAAAAGGTTATGTTATTGTTTGAAATTAAAGTAACGATGAATTTCATTAATTTTATAAATTTTTGCAATGTATGTTTTTTGTATGCACAATTAAGTTTATCAAATAGCGAAAAATATTTTCTGTGCGTGTTTTAACTTTTTTTTTCTACCTCATCTTTTTTTGTTTTGAAACAAATTAATTTAAATTGCGTTAAATTACATTTCTTTTTGGGTAAGAAAATTTGTTGCAATTAAATCTCTCATTTCAAACGTTTTCCTTCTTGAAACTCAGTTATTTTCACTTTTTTAAAATTTTATTGCTATTGAACAGAGTGCATTGTCAATTTTAGTAAAATTCGATTATAAACATTGGAGGTTTTTCTATACTTTGTTATATTTAACTCTTGAATTTATTGATCATATCAAAATTAATTTCATAGTTGATTTTCCTGAGCAATAATATTTGTCTCGAGATTCCCAATATACCTTTTCAGTTTTTTTTTT